ATGTCACGATCCGAGTCTACACCCTGGACGTGGCCGGCACTCGAAGACCATAGATGGTCCCCAAGCGAACCCCTATCCTGGCTGACTACAAGCGGAAAACTGATTCAACCATACAAAAGCTTAAAAATTGAACAAAATTCATGAAACTGAAATACAAAACTTTAACTCAAATGAAAAACTGAATAAAAATAAATTATTCAACTCGCCATAAAATAGGCAACTTAAGTCTTTAAAACATTTAATAAAATAAATGATACAGACTTCTCAACTATACTGGCTATCTATGAAGCCTCTAACTAATAACGATGGGAGTCGGGACAGGACCCATGACATCCTGACTGAAGTGAAAAGTAAATGAAATCCTTCGGAAGCAAGGAGGCTCACCATAGCTAACTCGAACTCTCGGATGTATCAATGAAGCTCCTATTGATGATCTTGAATACCTGTGTCTGCATCATGAGAAGATGCAGGCCAAATGACTCAGTACGTGGAATGTACGAGCATGTAATAGGAATTCTAAAGCATAGCATAAGCTTGAAACTTGATAAAAGGAAACATACTTACCTCTTTTCAATCTTACTCAACTCAAGGAATACTCCAAACTACTCAAAACTACTCAAACTTACTCAACTCAGAAGTACTCAAGGATAAGATACTCAACTCAGAGATTAGATACTCAACTCAAGGATATGATATTCGACTCTGGGTACTCAACTTTGGATACTCAACTCTGGATACTCAGCTCAATATAAAGCAAGAATACACATGCAATATATGGAAAACTTATAAAACAGTAAAACAACTCAGTTCGTTAAAGAAAATGCAATAACAAACTCAACTTTTCTCATATAAGAAAATAATATAATTTCTGTGGGAGTTTCTCTAACCGACAACCATCATTTAAGAGCTATAGTGATGACACAACACTTTACCTCACGCTGCCAAGGACCATCCTATACCCTGCCATCATCATAGAACCTGAACTACTAAGTGGATCCACTAGTCTATGCTAAAAAGCACTTAAGGA